ATAATAATCTGAGAGATACAAATGATAATAAGAACATTTCCCATCTTTACATTTCAAAAAATTTAAGGACTGGTATTACCTAATCCAGGAAAGATACAAAGATACAAGTAGTTTCATCCACTATTAGGAGAAATATAAACTGAAATAGTTTGGGGGAAGTATAATTTAATAATATCTATTAAAACTGCATAGGCTTTTTGGTCTAGAAATTCTACTTCTAGGAATTCTCTGACAAAGAATGTTGCTGCAGCATTGCTAGAGTAATAAAAATCTTAAAGTACTAGATATTCATTAGTGGGGAGGTGATTAAACAAAGCAAGTAATGTATATCATGACACATACTTTGGCATACTCAAAATATGAGTATGTAGACTCCTGAAGAAATGTAAAGCACTGTAACATGGAAAACAATTAGAACAGTTTCTCAAAAAATTAAAAATACAATTACCATAGGATCCAGCAATCCCACTTCTGAGTATACATCCACAAAAACTGAAAATGAGATGCAAAGAGGTATTTGTACACTCCAGTTCAAAGCAGCATTCATCAATAGCCAAAAGGCAGACTCAACCCTAATGTCTATCAGTGGATAAATGAACAAACTCCAAATTGGAATATATATCCTTATAAAGAAAGGACACTGTCTCTTATGCTATCACAAGGATGAACCTTGAAGACATTCCATTTAATGATATCAGTCACAAAGGATAACCAGAAATATTCCACTTAAACGATGTATCTAAAGTAAGGAAATTCTGCCAGGCGTGGTAACACACACCTTTAATCCCAACACTTGGGAAGCAGAGACCTGGCCTACATAGTGAGTTCCAGGCCCTGGTGCTACAGGGAGACCCTCTCAAAAAGACCAAAAAATAAGGTAGGGAAATTCTTAGAAATATAAAGTAGAATGTGATGGTTGCAAAGAACTAAGGAAGAAATAAGTCATAATTTCAGTTTTACAAGATAAAAAGTTCCGGAGTTCCAATATATAACAATGTGAACATATTCAGTATTACTGAACTGTACAAATAAAAATGGTCAAGAAGCTAAACTTTGTGCTTTTTTAAATATTTTTTAATTTATTTTTATTTTATGTGTATGAGTGTTATGCCTGCATGTATGTAAGTGCACCCGTGTTGTGCAGTGCCTGCGGAGGACAGAAGAAGGTGTCAGATCACCTGGAAGTGGTATTACATCTGGCTGTTAGTCATCATGTGGGTGCTGGGATCTGAATCCAGGTCTTCTGCAAAAACAGCCAGTGTTCGTAACCATCTCTCCAGCCCCAACTTTGTCCAACATTTTCACAAGTTTTTTTTAAAAAGTACTATCCTAAGATGGAAATATCTCTAAGATATTCTCTTTATTTTTTTTAAACATGGATGAGACCAAGCGTCCTTGGCTGCTAGGTGTCTAGCAGACAGGTATGGTTAAGAAACAACATTTTTTTGAGCAGGGGAATGACAACATAGCACTTAACAGCTACAGTGTAGTTAAATCCTGCTTTCCTTATATTTATTTATTCATTCATTTATTCATTCATTTATTTGTGTATGTATGGAGTGTGGACATGTGGGTGACACAGCACACATGTGGAGATCAGTTCTCTCCTTCTACCTTGTAGGTAAGTTCCAGAGATTGAACTCAGATCCCTCAGGCTTGGCAGCAAGTGCTCTTATCCACTGAGTCATCTCAATGACCCTCTAAGACATTTTTTAGTGAATAAACAAACTATAAAATATATGTGCTAAGACCAAAAAAGGTTTTAAAAAGACAGAAACCAAAATTAAAGTGGTAACCTTTACTAAGGAAAATTATATAGGTCAGAAATCCAGAAGTGCCAGAATTCAGGGCCTCACTTTATTTTGCGTACTTTTCTATTACTTTAAAACTCTATCAAGGGACTGGAGATATGGCTCAACGGTTAAGAGCACTATCTGCTCTTACAGGAGACCCAGGTTCGAATCCAAGCACTCACATGAGGGCTAACAGTCGTCTGTAACTCCAGTTCCCGGGGATCTGACACCCTCTTCTGACCTCCACAGCACGATGAGGGTGCACTCACACATATGCAGGCATAACACTCATATACATAAAATAAAAACTAAAGTCTAAACTTTTACATCAAGCATATATTCTTGTACTGTCTGTGTTACAATAGATGGAGCAAACCGAAAAGGAGCAAGATGACAGATTTAAATTAAGTGTAAAAAGACCAAACCAGTTTATATTTCTCCTAATAGTGCCCTCAGCTTGTTTTTTGAGGCCTAGGACCTGAAAAGGCTTTTTTACATTTCTAAAGACTTCAGATAGACGTATAAATAGACAATATAAATGAAATTTGTAGTGATATACTTTGGTTTGATTTTACCAAAACAGTAAATGAACTTTACTTCTCTTTTATTTTCCCCCAACTGTTAAGAACTCAAGGCTTTCCACAAGCAAGCCCCTGGTTACTTTTGTAACAGTCAATTTCCTTCCTTTTTCTTCCTTACCTTGCCAATACTTTCTTCAAGGGATTCTTCAGACTCAAAGAAAAATAAATGCCTGCTAAAATATCCAAACAACTTTGAACAGTGGGATCACACACGCCATTTTTATCTACCTTCTCCAGGAGAGGAACAATCTATAATAAAAATAAAAATAAAAAAAATCACAGCAATTTTTTTCTAGCACCAAATTAAAGTAACATGGTTACTAATGTTCTTTTGCTTTTTTTTGGGAGGGTCTCTCTGTGCAGCCTTGGCTGGCCTGGAACTCACTATGTAGAGCAGGCTGGCCTGAGATTCACAGAGATCAGTCTGCCTATGCCTCTGAGTTCTGGCACAAATATTCTTTCAAGTTACTTTTCTTGAACTTCTGACCCTCTTCCTTCTACCTCCTGAGTGCCAGTACTACAGACATATACCACCATGCCTTATTTATACAGAGCTGAGAATCAAACTCAGAGCTGTGTGCATGTGAGGCAAGCACTCTACCAAATGAGCTACACGCCCAGCCCAATTTCAATATTCATAAACCTTTTCATACAGGCCCCTAACTCCCTCTTTCCTTCCAGATCCACCTCCACTAATACACACCTAACGGCTGACAGTACAAAAAAGCTATAGCACTCTTTAAAAATGTACATTGTAGTCCCAGAACTTGGGAGGCAGAGGCAGGCGAATCTCTGTGAGTTCAAGGCCAGCCTGGTCTACATAGTGAGTTCCAGGCCAGCTGGGGCTACAGTGAGACTGTTTCAAAAAGACCGGGGGGGGGGAGTACATTGATCTGCTTTAAAAAGTGTATGTCAGGGCTGGAGAGATGGCTCAGCAGTTAAAAACACTGGTTGTTCTTGCAGAAGACACAGTTCGAATCCCAGCACCCACATGGCAGCTAACAACTGTCCATAACTCCAGTTCCAGGGGATCCGACAGCCTTTCTGTCCTCCGCGGGCATTGCACAACACGGGTGTACTTACCTACATGCATGCAATACACTCATACACATAAAATAAAATTAATAATTTTTTTTTTTAAGTCATTGTCACAAAACAGTATACACAGGGCTGGAGAGATGGCTCAGTGGTTAAGAGCACTGGTTGCTCTTGCAGAGGACCCATGTTCGATTCCCAGCACCTATGTGGTGGCTCACAACTGTCTATAACTCCACATCCGGGGATCTGATGCCCTCTTCTGACTTCCTCAGGCACTGCACAACACAGGTGCACTTACATACATGCAGGCAATACAGTCATGCACAAAAAATTAAAATAACAAATATTTTTAAAAGTATACATAAGTACCACAATTATCTCCTATGTAATTAAAGATCCAATTACAGTGAAAGCCTAAATATGGTTTCTATTGGTGCTCTGAATAAAAGATAATTATACAATAAACAGAAAAAGAAAACCTCTACTCTTTAGTGATAAAATGATACTACATCAAAGAAGGCAAAAACTGTCAATTAATTTTAAAAATCCATTAATAGCATGATAATCTTCAAGATACATCCATGAATAAAAACTCAGCTTTACCTGTTTAACACAATGGATTTGTGACACTCCATCTGTGAGTTGTACACAATGTAACAGCAGAGAGGCTAGATTTTTCCCTTCCGCATCAGCAAAAGCTAAGGCATACAAACAAAAAAGTCAATGATTTAAAATTATACACCAAAATCGCAAGTAGAACTTGGTCTGAGGATAGATGTTTAACAAAACCATTTGATATCTAAAACTGAATATTAAAAAATGTGGAAAAATTAAATAGAATTTCAATATTATATTCCATAGGGTTCCAGAGAGTGAAATACTCTGCTTGCAAATGCTGGGGGTGGGGGTGGGGGACAGGGATCATATACATTAAGCAAGTAAAATAAAAATCACCTACATCTCAAAGTTTCCAGGTCCTGATAACAAACAGTCAATGCAGCAACCTGCATTTCTCTTTTCTTCTTCACACCCATTGTGAACAGGATGAACAGTACTCACTGTGAGAAAGAGATTAAGGCATTGGTCCAGCGGATGGTTTCTCAACTGCAACATGACTGATTCTCTGTTGAGGAGTGTTGTCCTATGCACTGCAGGGTACTTAGAGGCCCTCTGGCCTCTACTCCACTGCCTGCCAGTAGCACCTTACCCAACAACCAAAAGATGTCTCCCAGCATTGCTATTGTCCATTAGAGGGTAAAACTGCCACCAGGCTGAAAGTCACTGGCTAAAGATAACTGTATTGTAAAAGAAAAACTGGTTTCAAGCTCAAGAAGGGTTGTTTAATATCTACAGGCATTTTTACCTATTATGATCCAGTCTTTGTACTTTAAAATATACTAAGACTTCATCTTAATAAAAGCTTAAGAAACTAGCAGTTTTTCCTAAAAGTAAATTGCACCAAACTAACAAGAGTTAGTTAGATTAGATTCACTCAGGAGGTGTTAAAGATTATCCTTGTTTTTAGTTAGTAGGTCAACAGGTTCATACTGAGCTAAAGAACGCAGCAAAGACAGACTAACAACTCCATGCCATACAGAAAGAAGACACTAGGAAAACACTGCAAGGTTCTCCCCTGGGTACAGTTAGCATTTTTAGCAGTGTTTATAAGGCAAACAACAGAAGACACAACAATACATTGATAAAGACAAAGTTGGGAGAACATGTTAGAAGCCAGAAACAGCTCAATAAACTAGAATAATAGGCAAAATAAAATCTACCAAAATGAAATACAAATAAATGTAGAATGCTATATTTAAATTGGAAATACAAGTTGGAGGCCTAGAGGGAGGTGAAACATGCTTTGGACAGCTCAGTGTTAGACAACAGAACAAAATGACAGATAAAAGCCATGTTAGAAGTCAGTCAGATGAAGGAAGGCATAATTCCTGGACCATTCACCCAGGTTTAGTGACATGCAGAACATTTTGTACAGGGATGGTGCCATACTTAAAGGAACAAGGACAAACAATGGAACCTCGAAGGAGTGACCAGTTCTCTGAAGGACCTAAACAGAATCTCTAACCAAAGTTTTGGGTCTGAAGAAAAGACAGGACACATGCCTTTAAAAAATGGTGGGGCTGCTTTGAAGAAAAGGAGAGTATTTCCTATATCTCACTGAAGGATTAGAAAATCAATGAAAATTTCAAGCAGACATTTCAGCTTAAGTCAAAGGAAGAACTCTGTGGTTCAAATGAGGAAAGGATTACCTTTAAACAAAATCTCTTAATATGGGACTATCTAGGCAGAAACTAAATTTCACTGACTTCCCAACACAGTTTTCTAACTGGCCTGCCTTGCCTCTCAAGCATTCATTGTTTTCAGTCATCAGTATTTTAAAAACACTAATAAGGGCTGGAGAGATGGCTCAGCAGTTAAGACCACTGACTGCTCTTGCGAAGGACCAGGGTTCAATTCCCAGTACGCACATGGTGGCTAACAACTGTCTGTAATGCAGGTTCCAGGGTATCCAATGCCCTCTTCTGACCTCTGCAGGTACTGAGCATGGGTGCACTTACATACACACAGGCAATCCACTCATTAAGTAAAAATAATATTTTTAAAACACTAATGAGGGCTAGAGAGATGGCTCAGTGGTGAAGAGCATTGTCTGTTCTTGCAGACCAGTGTTCCATTCCTAGCACCCACATGGCGGCTAACAATTGTCCCTAAGTTCCAAGGGGTCAGATGTCCTCTTCGTGCCTCCATGGGCACTGCATGACACAGGTGCACTTACACGCATGCTGGGAAAACACTCACACACTAAAATAAAAATAAATAAAAACACTAACAAAATCTAACCACAAACTTGCTTCCCAAGAGTTTCCAACTGTACTTAGACTAACAGTCAAACTTGAGACTTTGATTGACATTCAAAGTCTGAAAATAATATGGACCCGGCTTCCTCTTCCATTCCACTCAAGCAATCTACTCTTGGCCACCTTAAGAGTCCTCACATTTCCTGGTGCTCTTATTACCACCTCTCCCCTTCTGCACCCGACCCCACACACACACAACCACCACCACGCCACTTATATTACTTTTTTTCACAGCATTTATTACTACCTACAATTACATTAACTTGCACACCTGTATATTGTCTGTTTTCCCTAGTAGTAGACTCCATGAAAATGGTCATTTTAATTTTTGATCAGTGTTTTAATTCTCAACTCCTTAACAGTGTCTGACATGGAGTAGATGCTTTAATAGACATTTGGTAAACACACCGATGAACTAATATTTGCCAGAGATATTCTAGAAAGGATATATACGTACTTTTAATGCCAAGAAAGGTGGACTACCCAGTACCTAAAAGTGCATCCTAAGTTACGTGGAGACTAGCCTGACATTAAAGAACCTATCTATGGTCCACGTAGTCAGTAAGAAGACAGTAATGGCAGGTGAGCAGTCAGTTAACCAAAACAGTTAACAAAAATGAACATAGGTAGGCATGACAAGGAAAATGCTGAAGTTCTGCATTAAATTTAGGCAAATAATTGAGGCTCTTCCTAAATGAGCAACTAGAACACAAAGCCTCAGCAACTGAGGGGACCATTCTGAAAACTGGTAAATTCACAGTACTGGGTCCCAGAGCCCTCGGAACTACACAAAAACATGTGATAATCCCGCGTGTGCGATAGCTAAACCTGTGTCCTGGTGAATCCGGCCTCCCCAGTGCGGAAACCCCACTATCCAGTTGGTGAGTCTCTCTTGCGGCTTCCCTCCCCTCGACACCTTCCCGTCTGACTCCACAAACATTCTCTCTGACCCACGTGGAGCCCGAGGAATGACAGGCGAAAGAAAAAAGAGGTCAAAGGGCAGTCTCCATGGAGACCTAGGCAACCGGAAATCAGTTTCACAGCCGCCACACGTACGCAATACAAACAGACTGGAAGTGCCGTGCCCCTCGCGTGGGCTCCGGCGAGCAGGCACGACCGGGCTGTGGAGAGTTCGTCCCGCGCTCCCGCGAGCCTGGAAGGCAGCACGCCCGTGAGCCGAACCTCGTGCCCGGGACGTCTACGCAGCCTCGCGGCCTCAAACCTGCCTCTTCTACGCCGTCAGCGCGGATCCTAAGGTAGTGCGGTGGTCGGCAACAAAATCCCGAAGGAAGGAAGCCTAGCCGGGACCTGGCAAGGAAATACCGCGAGAGTGGCCGAATGTCGCTCCTCCAATCAGAAGTGCGGGAGTGACATGACGTCACGGGAAGGGCGGTAGCGAGTGGATTTGGGTAGAGAGCGACTTCAGCGCGGTTCCCAAAGCCAAGCCGCGGTAACTGCGCTCACCTCACCTTCTTCTCCACACCTCTAGGTGTCCAGTGGGCACTTCTCTCGCAATCCAGACTCTGCACTCACTGTGCCCAGCTCAGGAGACTGCATTTGTTCATCCAGCCAAAACTTAATGAACTCTACCGTCCGAGCCTTGACAGCTACCCACAGAGAACGTGTTCACGCAGCTCGCACAAATTGTCATGCAAGTCAGTTCTTTATAAGTGAACAAGGGACTTGGTGACCGACCAATCACTGCAGTAAGAACTGGGTCAGGGGACAAGATCAGAAAACACACAAGATGCTGTCTTGAGCATTCCTTATGGAAAACGGGTCATCGGGTTGATGGCTTTTCAGTCTTTAATCCTTTTCTGGATTTTTTACCGATGTGCTTTGTATTTCTTTATGGTTTTGCCACATATGTCACTAACCAGTAGCTTGCTTTGATTTCGAGTTTTACTCTAACCATTCAGCATTGTTTTGAGATTCACCCACCTAAAAACAGGTGACTATAGTTCTTTCATTGACTGTTAACATAGTTTGCCATTCTTTAACATACTGTTCTACACTTAGGTATTCATGCTAGTGTCTCCGGACATTTGGTTTATTTCCAGCTTTTACTATTTACCAATGCTGCTATGAGCCAGTTTATGCCCAACAAGTGTTTGAACTTGCTCTACAATCTTTTTTTTCTTTTCTTGAGACAGGGGCTCACTATTTAGACCAGGCTGTCCTCAAACTCACAGAGATCTGCCTGCCTCTGCCTCCCAAGTGCTAGGATTAAAGGCAATGCACCACCGTGCCCAGCTACAATAATTTTTCTAATAATTTTGTGACTGGGACTGATAAGTACCTAATACATGTAAGTACTCTCACATAACAGAAACAAAATTTTCTTAAAATATTATTCTTCAAGAGCTCTAAGACTTTGTTTCCTTATGATAAAATAAACTGAACAACTTTGATTTTGTGGCATTGAGGACTGAATCTAGGGCTTCCTGCAGGCTAAGCAAGTCCTCTTCACCGCTGAGCTATATCTCCAGATCTTCCCCTTAACTTGAAACAAACTCTTAAGTTGTCCTGGCAGGCCTTAAACCTGTGATCTTCCTGCTGCCTCAGCTTCCCAAGCAGCTGTGATTGCAGGTCTTTGCCACAGGCCTAGCTAAAATGTATTGCTTTAAATGTTTCTTTGAGTCTTAATGTGATGATCCATGTGAATAATCACAGCACTTGTGAGGTAGAGGCAAGAGGACTAGAAGTTTAGGGTCAGCCTCAGTTACATAAAGAGTTCAAGGCTACCCTGGACTGTATGAAACCCTGTTGTGATTAATTTGTCAACTTGACAGGCTCTATAATCACCTAGGAAACAAGCCACTGGTCATGCCTACTTAATATGGGTGCCACCATTCCATGGACTAGGGCTCCAGACGGAATAAAAAGTGAGCTGAGCACTAGCATTCATTGCTCTCTACTTCTTGATTATGGATTCAATGTGACCAGCTGCCTCAAACTCCTGCATGAGGACTGCCCTGTGGTGATGAACTGTAGCCTTGAACATGGCAGGTAACAGCCGCCTATAGCTTCAGTTACGGGGATCTGACACCTTCTTCTGGCCTCTGTAGGCACTACCAAAATAAACTCTTCCTTCCTTAAATTGCTTCTGTCATGTATTTTGTCACAGCAGGTAGCTAATACAAACCCTGTCTTGACAAAACAAAATTCAAGTATATGGGCTTAGTATGTGTTGCTTCCAGTGTAATAACTATATAACTCTCAGTAGATCCCACTGTAATAGTTATATAACTCTCCATGGATCCCATCCATTATTTGTTCTTACTAAGCCATTTGAAAGTAAGGAGAAGACATTATGACCCTTTTCTCACATAATAAGAGATGCTGTTGTAGAAAAATAGGAGAATAGAGCTGAGAATGTGGGGGTGATTTGTTGCTGGGTTGTTGATTTTTTTTAATTTGGTATGTGTGTGTGTTGCCTACATGTAAATGAACCATGTGTGTCAGTGCCTACAGAGGTCAGAAGGCTGTTTCAAATCCCCATAACTGAAGCTATAGGCAGTTGTTACCTGCCATGTGGGTGCTGGGAACTGAACCCGAATCCTCTACCAGAGCAACCAGTACTTTTCTAAGCCATCTCTCCAGCCCCTTGTTGCTGTTTGAATAGACTGAGCAAGTAGGAATTATTGAGCAAAGATTCCCATGGTGTGCAGACACCCAGGAGAGAGGAAAGCATTCCATACAGAGGGAACAGCCAGTGCTAGAGGATTGGGAGATCGACTGGCTACCTGGCACCAAGAGCACAGAGTTACATTCTAGGGAATGAGACAACAGAGTTCATGGTATGTAAAGCCATCAGATCATTTTAAGAACTTGGAATTTTCATGTTAAATGAAGTAGTGAGCCATTCTGAGCAGAATACTAATAAGATCTAACAACTTACATTTAAGATGAATCACTGAAACGACTTTGTTTGGAAGAAGCCTTTAGTTGATGCAGGAAAACCAGGGAATAGGTTATTTTTGGAAAGTAGGCAAGCAAAGTACTTGTGGCTCAGCCCACTGGAGAGTGGGAAGAATGGACAGATTCTGGATATAATTTAGAAGTAGTGGTAACAGAACTTTCCAAAGGATAAGATAGGACTGGGGTGAAAAGAGGAATCAGAAGATGATTCCAAGATTTCTGGCTGAGCAATGGAAGGATGAAGTTGCCATCCGTGGAAAGTTAGGGGCAGAAGTTAATTTGGAGCAGGTTTGAATGGATGTAAGAGAATGAGAGAGAGAAATTGGCAAGATAAAGTACAGTGCCCTTGACTCTGTAGATGTGGAGTGCATAGATTCAACCAGATACAGATTAAGAACATTTTGGAGGCAAGAGGGACAGTCTTCACTGAACATGCACAGACTGTTTTTTGTTTTTATTCCCTAAGCAATACAGTATTGCAACTCTTTATATGACACGTACATCGAATTATATAAATTTGTATAACATTTATAATCAATTTGTAATGTAGAAGTGATTCAAACTGCATGGAAGAATGTACACAGGTTCTATTCAAATACCGTTGGAGACACTGCATATATGGTACTTGAACATCCTCAGATTGTTAGCATCTTCATGCAGGAAGGGGTCCTAGAACCAATGTCCTATGAATACTGAGAGACATCTGTAGAGGCAACTCCCAGTGTCTTTTTTCTTTTTTAAAAATTTTAGAATATTTTTATTCCAAAGAGGAAATTTTTAACACGTTTTTCCAGAAATACCTTGAAGTGGGTTACCTAAAAACATATATACAATGAAATTTAAGGGTGGAAAAGTAGGGATAAGAAATAAAAAACCAACCAAACTGGGCGTGGTGGCACACATCCTCAATTCCAGCACTTGGGAGGCAGAGCCAGGCAGATCTCTGTGAGGTTAAGGCCTGCCTGGTCCACATAGCAAGCTCCAGGCCAGCTGAGGGTACAGGGAGACCCTGTCTCAAAAAGACCAAAAAAAAAAAAACCAAAAAAACAAAAAAATCAAAGACCAAAGGATTTGCCAACATGGGGTCAACTTTGGTGGAATAATGAAGGTTTCCAGCTCTGTTCTTTTTCTTTCTTTTTGAAAATCTAACCCTAACTAGTTTATTGGGCTTGCAAACAGAACATAGGGCGGTGAGTTATTTACAGAAGAATGGGAGCCCTCCCCACATTTATGGCTGCAATGGAAAGTCCACACTCAAATATACATCCTGTGGCTTCCTGAGAGCTGAACAAAATGGTGAGAGAGGTGCCTCGTGACATTCTCAGCTTATATATCCTAAGCCCCTCCCCCAGGTGCAGCTAAAGTCGACTTGCAAACAGAACATAGGGCGGTGAGTTATTTACAGAAGAATGGGAGCCCTCCCCACATTTATGGCTGCAATGGAAAGTCCACACTCAAATATACATCCTGTGGCTTCCTGAGAGCTGAACAAAATGGTGAGAGAGGTGCCTCGTGACATTCTCAGCTTATATATCCTAAGCCCCTCCCCCAGGTGCAGCTAAAGTCGACTAATTGGGTGGGAGAGGTAACTGACTCTCCCTTCGACTCCTTAATGAGTGTAGGAAGGAAGTGTGACTATAGCTTGCTGGCATAGTGGTTGGAGGTCACTTCTAGGTAACAAACACTCCACCCTTCCTCCGGCCCTTACATTGTTTCAGCCAACCTCTTCCACAGAAGTCCCTAAGCCTTGGAGTGGGTGGTAGGTATGGGATGATCTTCCTCCCATTGTGGCAAAGCACTGAACTTTCAGGTCTCTGTGTCATCTGTTTTCTATGGGCTGTTGACCTATTTCAGTGGGATTCCATCAACTATAAAAACACAAGAAGCAAGAACATCTAAACAGTGGCTACTATAATAACTTAACCTATGTGTGTAAACACAAATGCTTGGACGGTACTTTAACAGGTGCATCACATCCATCTAACAGAACAATTGCAGTGGCTTCCTACTGGGGCCTATATTCTCCTCTGCCACAGGGGGTTGGCCTGGTCTACAGTACCAGATGTGTATTCCACTCCTAGGATTGGACATTATATCCAATTGAAAATTTATTGGTTGTGCATACACTAGACATGCCACTATTGCACCAGCAGTAACATATTGTTCGGCATGTTGATAGTGCAGCATTCGGGGGTCCGTCAGTGAGCAAAATTATAGGGGACAAGTCTCCCCCAACCATCTGCATATCACCTTCTGACGCCATGAAAGCCACCCATCCCGTGGCAGGGAGTTTCCAGCTTAGTCCAAGCTTGATTTCTCCCTCTCCTGTGCTCACATCATGCAGTGTCTTCAGCAATAGTTTTTCCATCCACGTCTGGTGTACAACCAACTTTATTGGCAATGGCCTTTATTGTTTTGTGACCTCTAGGGCCCCTCTGGACAACAGCTCATAGGGGGGTAACCACCTCTGGCATTAGGATTTTCATTTAACAACTGTATTGTTTCTGGAAGGGCTTTCTTCCATCCCTGTGTAGGCCTCCTTCTGTGCTTAAGACATTTTAGTGTGTGTGTGTGTGTGTGTGTGTGTGTGTGTGTGTGTGTGTTTGAAACAGAGTCTCCCTGTAGCCCCAGCTGGCCTGAAGTCACTATGTAGACCAGGCTGGCCTCAAACTCAGAGAGATCTGCCTGCCTCTGCCACCCAAGTACTGGGACTACAGGCGAGCACCACCATGCCCAGCTGGCTTTTTTTTTTCTAATTGTGTATCTGGAGAATATTTTCCCCCTTTATTCCCATAGTTCTTTGTATAACCCTCCTCCCCCCCAACCATCACTCTTTTTACATATTTCTCCCTTAGTACCACCTTTATCCTACTATTCGCTCTCAGGTTCCTTTTCTTTCCTTTACCTCCCTGATTACCTTCTATATTCGTGGTCCCTGCAGTTGCATCCGGATATGCACTTACTTATAAAGATTTAGTGCTAGGATCCACAAATGTTTTTCTGAGTCTTTGTTACTTCACTTAGTATAACAGTTTCTAGATCCATCCATTTACCTCAGATTTTATGATTTCATTTTTCTTTAACTCTGAGTAGAACTCCGTTGTGTAAATGCACCACATTTTCATTCATTCATCAGTTGACTGTATTTAAGTGCACCCCTGTCATGCAATGCTGTGCAGGTCAGAAGAGGGCTTCAGATTTCCCTGGAACTGGAGTTAAGGATGGTTTATAGCCACCATGTGGGTGCTGGGAATTGAACCCGGGTCCTCTGCAAGAGCAGTCAGTGCTCTTAACCACTGGGCCATCTCTCCAGCCCCAATATACCACATTTTTGTTAACCACTCATCAGGTGAAGGGCACTTAGGTTGCTTCCATCTCTTAGCTATTGTGAAAAGAGCAGCAACAGACATGTGGTTAAAAGTATCTCTGTAGTAGGATGAGTCCTTTGGGTAAATGCCAAGGAGTGGTATAACTTGATCGTATGATAGGTTTATTTTTTGTTTTTAGCTTTCCACATTGTTTTCTGTAGTGATTGCACTAGTTTGCAATCTCACCACAGTAAATAAGCATTCATCTCACTCCCCTCAAAATTTCAAAGTTGGCTATAAATTTTTCTGAATTATTGCAGTTATACAATATTGTACTCAGTATTAAACCTATAAGACATAAAATTAAAGGAGGATTTAACCTTTAAAAATGATCTCCACTTCATTATTAAAATACACAGTTTCATACAGAAAAATTCATTTTTAATGCAATTGACATTAAGATGTTTGCACATGCATTTCTAATCTCTATATATCTGATTATTACAAGTCACAGTCAGTTACTTTCTGAGCTCCTTGGCATCTGATCATGGATATAAAGTCATCAGGTAGATTTCAATGGTGATGTTTTTCACATCTACAAATTATTAAGGAGCAAATACTTTTGCTTTGAAGAATTATTTTTTTAATCATTATTTTAAAAATGTTTAATAACAACATGATTAGAAGAAGCATTTCACTACAGATTTAACATATTCAGTAACACACTCCAGAGCAAGAGTACATCTCTTTCACAAGTGGGTGCAAGTTTCTAGGTTCATAGTTGAGTTAATACAGTTATACAATATTGAACTCAGTATAAGTCCTGA